GGGAAAGAGGCAGGAGATAAGGTCAGAGAGGTAGGCAGGGGACAGATGAGTAAGGCCCGTGGACCAAGGTAAATTCTAGATTTTATTCTAAGGGCAATGGGAAACCATTAACAAAGGAGTGACATGGTCTGATTTGCATTTTCAAAACTTTTTTTGGCTGTAGAACAGAGAATGAATTTGGAGGAGGAGGAGTAGTTCGGAAGCAAGCAGATCAGATGGAAAGAGATGGTGTTGGCTTGGATAGGGTGAAGAGAATGAAGGTGAAGAGAACCAGATGGACTTGGGATGTGCTTTGGAGATAGACCTAAAAAGTCTTGCTAATGGATTGGAGTGTGGAGGGAGAATGAAAAGCTGTGTATGTTGCTGTTGCTTTGGACCATGTGGATACATTCAGTATGATTAATAGAAACCATTGGTGAGCAGTTTAAAGACTCATACTTATTAGGCAACACATTAATCTGAAAAGCAGGAGAATGTTTTATGAGGTGTTAAGAAGAGACTAGTGCCTGCTGTAAATATACCTTCCTTGATCAATCAGACTCGGATGGAAGTTATTAAGGATTATCATCTTCTATAAAACAATTACAAACATAACTCTTTTATTAGTAGTTGCACTAGGGACCAAATAATAAAATGTTAATAAAATTATCATCCACTAAAGGATCTACTCTTGATACATTTTAAAAAAATAAAAGATAGCTCAGAGCATCAAAAAGCTAGAGCTGGTTGAGAAACATGGGCGGTCAGGAAGAACAGGCATTGTTTACTTGACAGGGCAACTATACCGCATCAATGCATCAACGCATCAACAGAAGAGAGGATATTGTGTATCTAGCCTGTCTGGAGTGAACCTGTTGCTGTAGGCACCTCTATTCTCACATATCTCTCGTATTATACTCACAAAGCAGCCTTCTGAACTTGGTTTGATTTCTCAAGTAGACTGTCTTGCTAGAAAAAATCTTTTTCTCTTAAAAATAACTCCATTACAAGTCAGTCTTTTTAGAGTATAAGAACCATGAACCAGTTTCCCTAGGACCTGCTCACCTATAATTCATGGGATACCAAATCTCAGAATAGACAAAAGTAACAAGAACATTGTGATTTTTTTCTGATCAGTCTAACATTCCATTCCCACATTGTCAAGGAACAAACACTGAAATAGATGAATGAAGGGTATTTTTTGTGTTCAGACTTAAATTCATACCCTTGCCTGTCTTTAGCACCTTCTCCAGCTCTGTGTACAGACTATTGTTGACCCTTGAACAACAAAAAGGTTAGGGGTGGTGACCCCCAAGCAGTGGAAAATCCATGTATAATTTATGGTAGGTCCTCCATATACATGGTTCCTCTGTATCCTTGGTTCCTCATTCTCAGATTCAACAACCATGAATCATGTACAACTGTAGTATTTACTATTGGGAAAAAAATCTGCGTGTAAGTGGGCCTGCATGGTTCAAACCCATGTTGTTCAACAGTCAACTGTACATGTATCTGGGTCAACTGTTAACTTCAACTATTAGGCAATCACCTTATTTTAAATGGAGTATATCTCTCATGAGGAAATCTGTCCTTTATTTCTAGCTTATTTATATCTGTTTATATTTGTCCATATTTACAGCTAGCAGACAGCAGTGGTATCTAGTTTTTAGTGCAGGATCAAAAGAACAAAAATAAAAAAACACCTGATACCATAGACCCTGGTTCCTTTCTGATTTTTTCTAGCTTTCCTGTTGCCATTCTAGTCTTCCCTGAATTACTACAGAATTCTCTCTCTCTCTCTTTTTTTATTTTTTAACATCTTTATTGGAGTATAATTGCTTTACAATGGTGTGTTAGTTTCTGCTTTATAACAAAGTGAATCAGCTATACATATACATATATCCCCATATCTCTTCCCTCTTGCGTTCTCTCTCTCTTTTTTTTTTCAGGAGTCTCTTAATTGTTCTCATGGTTCCCACTTCTCTGCACTCTTAAAATAGCCAAGGTGATCTTAAAAAATGCAGATCACTCCCATGCTTAAAACCCTTCAATGGACTTCTGGTTTACTTGGAATAAAGTCCAAACCCCTTAGTTAACAAGGCCCCACAACTTTCTCTACAACCTCATCTCCTTCACTCTCCCTCTTGCTCAGCCATTTGGCCTCCTCTGTGATCCTAGAAGAGGCTTCCTTTCCTACGGTAGAACCTTTGCATTGATGTTTCTTCTGCTGGGGTGCCCCGCTCTCCCCCAGCTCTGCACATGGCTGACCTCTCTCATCAATGAGGCTCAGCTCAAACATCACCTCTTTAGTGAGGGCTTCCTTGGCCCTTCCAAACCAAATCACCACCTCTCCCTTCTGTACTCTGTCACAGCATCTGCTTCATATGGTTCACAGCTCTTATTACTACCTGAAATTATTTTGTTTACTTATGTATTGACCATTTCTCCCACCAGTCTGTGTTTTCCAGAAAAACAGGGACCTTTTCTGTCATGTTCACCATAGTGACTCCACTGCCTGACACAAAGTAGACATTCAATAAATATCCTTATCATGAATGAATGGTTTCTTAACTAGTTCCACTGTTATTTACCTAAGCTGGGTCAGACACTTGACTCTGTGCTTTAGCTTCTCCAGCTTTAAGATGGTAACAAGAGATTATGCCATCTAACTCATTTTCAGCATGGAGGAGAAAAAGTGTTATCTTTATACCTGGAAATATTACTCCTGAATAATGTCATGCTATAAAACAAGTATGTAGGAGGTATAGTAGGTATACAATGAAAGTGTTCCTTACCTTTTACCAGATAAGATTCTGGATTTTTAAAAAATAATTTCTTTCTCTATTCCCTTTGCTATTTCTAGAAAGTGACTGAGATATACCAGTTCAAATTCAAATACACAAAAGAAGGAGCCACTATGGATTTTGACAGGTAGAATCTAATTGTTTAATGAACATGAGAAATATGTAGGATTGAGGTAAACATAAGCTTCTTGAGGCCAGAGATAGGTCTTATACTTCCTTTGTAACTTCCCCAACAATCCCACAAAAACCACTATTATGAAAAGGGACTGTAAAAATTGTTTAAATTTCTGAAATCCATAGATGAAGCCAGTAGGAGAAGAGGCTTCCTTTGCTTCTTTCCTTCTTCTCCTATAGGTGATATTAGTAGGGTCTAAAGGCAGTTTAGTGGTTAAGAGTTCTAATTCCTAAGGCAGAAAGATCTAGCTTGGAACCCCAGCTCTGACTATTACTGGTCATTTAACTTTGGACAGAATAATAAACCTCCCTAAATATTAGTATTCTCATTTGCAGAGTGGAATTAATAATATCTACTTCATATGGTTGCTGAGATTATTAAATTATAATGCATATACAAAGCTTTACCCATGCCTGGCACATAATAAACACACAGTAAATTGTACCTAGTGGTGGGGATGGTGGTGGTCTTTGGAGGCAATGGTGGTTGGTGGGTGGCACAGCAGTAGAAATTATATTAATGAGGCTGTCTATGTGGTGTTGATTGAAGAACTCCATGAGGCTCTATCTAGCCACTAATTCAAAGTTTCTCAATTGCTATGCCAAGATATTAACCCTTTCTACCCTCAATATAGCCAGATCAGGACTGGGGTAGATGAAACCCCTACACTATTTACCTATAGACACAAATATTCTCATCTGTTTACCCCAGTATGTCATACAAATATAATTATCTATATGTCCCTGTATGGAAAAGACTGGAAAGCACTGCATTTTCCCATCAAGTCTGAAATTCCAAGTTTTAGATATACTAATGGGTTAAATAGCAAGGACAAGGACATTTACTTCAGAAGGTCCTTAGTAAAGATGGAGATGTTTTGTTGAGGAGCAACATTTATTCCCCTCCCAGTAGCTTTTGGATTCAGATAGAGCTAAGTATTGCTGATGAGACGGAACAGAAGTGGGGAGGGTGGATGATGGAGAAAAGCCTTGGGTGGTAGAAAGCTGCACCTCAGGGGGATGAGTTTCTCTGAAAGGAATAACACTGAAGAGAAATGTGGCCTGATTCTCAATTTTCCATACTATTAGCTCTGTCTCATCATTTATTATTACAAGTTTAATGATTTCTCTCCAAGATTCACACCCTTAATTATCTTCTCATTTGTAAAATTTACAGACAGCATTAGGATGTGAAGTGGAAGTAGGTTCTAGGAACAAGAATTAAGGTACTAACCATCCTTAGCTAACATCTGTATAACACTTTACAGATTGTTCAGCACTTTTCACACATATTCTCTCACATAAAACAGCTGCCTTTTACTCTCTGTACAACTGACAAGCAGATTAATCTCTTTTGTTACGAAGGTACATATGTCTAGAGGTGAACAGTAAAACAGAAATGGCCGAATCTGGGACTTCCCTGCTGGTCCAGTGGTTAAGACTCCGTGCTCCCAATGCAGGGGGACCGGGTTCGATCCCTGGTCAGGGAACTAGATCCCACATGCCGCAACTAAAAGTTCTCTCACGCCACAACGAAGATCCCGCGTCCTGCAACTAAGGCCCGGCACAGCCAAATAAATAAATAAATATTCTAAAAAAGAAAAAAGAGGAAATGGCCAAATCTTTTACTAAGGGGAAGAGAAGGTAATGCATACGTGACCAAAGGTGGGCATTTGTTCAAGTGATTGTTCATACAAAATTACCTTATCACCTCTTCTATAGTAAAGAAAATTTTCCTTTTAAAAGAGTACAAGGGAGTCTTGAAAATGATTTTACATGAGTATGATTTTAGGAATATGGTGTATACTGAAGGATCCCATGTGCTACATGGCAATAGCCCCTCCCTCTCATTACCTATTTCAAGTTGGTTAAATCCTGGTAGACAAAACTTTAAGTTTTTCAAAACTGAAAAAGGAGCAAATGTGATTCCTTAATGTTTGTTTTATGAATTCACGCTATCTCTAGTAGTTCAATTACTAAGGATTATTTTTCAGTATTGAGAAAGGCATTGTAAAAATATATTGCAGTCATAGTCCTTGGAAACTACTCAAATGTGAGATTAATTGGGGAAAAAATTTTGGAGAGAAATAAAAAATGTTTAGAGTTGGAAGGTAATTTAGTCCAACTTGTCCATTCATTCATTAATACAACAAATGTTTATTGAGTACTTAATATAGTTGGGCACTAAACTTAGTACAGTGGAGATGAAAAATATAGCCATTCATCGTCTAGAGGGGACATACAGTTACAAACAGGGGTGAGGTATAGGGATTACCAGGGAAGACTTCCCTGAAGAGATGACACATGAGATAGGTATTAAAGGATAAATTCGGTAGAGTCAGGAAAAGAAGTGGGAAAAGCACAGTACAAGCAAAGTGAACAGCACATACAAATGCACAGGAGTAAGAAGGAACTGGGTAGCAGTTGCAGATGAAGGTGGAGGTGAGTGTGTGGTTGGTTGTGAAAGGCATTGTACACACACTGTTCTCAAATTTGATTGAAAGGTGATGGATATAATAGAAGAAACTTAAGCAAGAGAATGACATGAGTGGATTTTCCTATTAGGATATTATTTTGGTAGTAGTGTGGAGAATGTTTTGCAGTGTGGGCAAGAAGAAAAGCAGGAAGAATAGTCAGTCATTGTCATAATCCATGTAAGAGTGAGAAGGGGATGCCTCTGAGAGATAACCAGATGGTACAAAGGCCTAGAGCTGATGATTGATTTAACTTGGAGAGGTAGAGAAATGTGTGTAAGCTTATCTCACAGAGGAGCTAACTGACATAGAGTGTCTAAGTGACTTGACCGCGGCCATTCAGCCAGTTAGCAGCAGAGCCAATATTAAATGTCAAGTCCATTGTTCTCACTATTATAGTATGCAGTTATTTGTAAATCAGATTTTAAAAAAATCAGGTCACATTGAAAATGTCTTAAAGGGAACTTGCTGCTTAAGAAATCCTTTATATATACATTGCAAAAAGTACAATAACTCCTCTAATTTACATTCTAAAATAGTCTCAAGAGTGTCCTGAGTTTATATTTATCTGATCATATAGTAAAAAGTTTTGTTCTTTTTAAAATAGATTTTCAGTATTATATGTGATTGAAAAGTATGCTGTTTTTCTACGTGGTTATAGCAGTAGCACAACCTTCGAAAGTGGGACAAACAGTGAAGATGTTAAGAAAGCCAGTGTTCTACTGATGCGTAAATTGTACATACTGATGCAGAACCTTGGACCCCTTCCTAACGATGTTATAATTACTATGAAACTCCACTACTATAACGCAGGTAGGTGGAGACCTCTAGTCAAATTCCTTCTTCAGCGCTGAAGTAAATATTTTGGATAAATAGAAGGATTTTGGCAAGCATTTGAAAGAGATGTCTGTTGTTACACATGAAAGATTATGCTGACTTGTTCTCCTGAAACTCAACAGTTTTCTTGGTTTTCTGCCCTTTTCATTTTGCAGTGACCCCACATAATTACCATCCCCCTGGTTTTAAAGAAGGGGTAAACTCACACTTCCTGCTGTTTGATGGGGAGCCTGTAAACCTGCAAGCGGGATTGGTCTCCACTGGCTTTCATAGCATGAAATTAAAAGTCACAACTGAGGCCACCAGAGTGTCTGATTTGGAGAACAGAGTTTTTCAGGAGAGCAGCACTACAGAGATCGCCCATCAGGGTCTAGACTGTGATGAAGAGGAAGAGGAATGCAACAATCACGTAAGGCAAAGCTGTAGCGACCCTCCATTGCTTCAGTTAAACCCAGTTGACATTTTTCAGTTCATACACAGGTCATATCATAGTAACAGGATCCAATGGAGTGTGCCGGGTGTAAAAACTGAAACAAAACTAGCCCCTAACCTCAAGTCTTTATTCTAAAAAAGCACTGTCTTCAAGAAGGAAATATACTCTGTTAGATGAAGTGGTCCATGGCTAGGAGAAAAAGACTTTCTAATATACTTCTTTTTATAAAAGGTACCCATGAATTTAGGAAATTTTAGATTTTCTATAACTTATAAGAGCATATTAAACATGTTTTAAAATATTATAGCTGTTTATTCATACTCACTGCAAGTATAAGTAAGTTCTTGATTACTGGGGTAGAAAAGTGTTATGGATAAACCTAAGTCAGAGTGCATTCATTTTCACTGCTGTAGATTACTCTTGACAGACATTCTTTCTTCCTCTGCAATTGTTATAAACATTCATGTATACACCTCCTCGTACACATATGCAAGAGTGTCTCCAGGGAATATACCAAAGAGTTCTAGGGCTTGCACATTTTCAACTTTATTAGGTAATGAAAAACTGTTCTCTAAAATGGTTGTACCAATTTATGCTCCACCAAAAGTGGAGGGAGTGCTGTACATTATTGTCAATACTTTTTTTTTTAAGTAATACTTTAAATTTTATTTATTTATTTATTTATTTATTTATGGCCGCAGTGGGTCTTCGTTGCTCCGCGCGGGCTTTCTCTAGTTGCAGCGAGCAGGGCTACTCTTTGCTGGTGCGCGGGCTTCTCATTGCGGTGGCTTCTCTTGCTGTGGAGCACAGGCTATAGACACGCGGGTTCAGTAGTTGTGGCTTGCGAGCTCTACAGCGCAGGCTTAGTAGTTGTGGCGCATGGGATTAGTTGCTCTGCAGCATGTGGGATCTTCGCGGACCAGGGCTCGAACCCATGTCCCCTGCATTGGCAGGCAGATTCTTAACCACTGCGCCACCAGGGAAGTCCCCTTGTCAATACTTAATTTTACCCAAGTTTATGTTTTCTGCCTAACTCCTGGATGTAAATGGTAATGCTTCATGATTTGATTTTGATTTGCATTTCCCTGATTATTAATGAGTTTAAGCATCTTTTCATGTATATTGGCTGTTCTGGTTTTCTTATGTATAAAGTAACTGTTCAAGTCTTTCATGCATTTTTCTATTGGATTATTTATCTTTTCCTCATTGATTTAAAAATATGTTCTGAATAGTAATTATTTTTCATTATTTATGTTGCAATTTTTTTTCAGGTTTGTGGCTTGTCTCTTCACTTTCTTTAAGATGTTTTTTGCTAAAGAGAAGTTCTTAATTTTAATGTAGTCAACTCTTTTCCTCTAATATGTGCTTTTGGATATTAAGAAATTCTTCCTTATCTGAGTTCATTTTTAATATTCTCCTCTATTTTGTTATAAAAATTTTAAGGTTTTTCTTTTAACATTTTTATTCCACTTGGAGTTTATTTTTATTTGTGGGGTAAGGTAGACCAGACCCCTTTTACATTTTAAAATCCAAGTATAATAAAATACATATATCCAAGTATAAAAATACATATATCATAATGATACAGCTCAATAAATATTCACAAACTGAACACCAGGGCTGGGATGAGAGTGAGGCAAACAAGGTAAGAGTGAGTACCACCTTAAATATTACTTCCTAGGTATCTTGTTTGCCTCACCCCATTCCAGCCCTAATGAATACACATGTGAAATCAGCACCCAGATCAAGAAACAAAATACTACCAGCACCTTGAGAAAAGTCAGTCTTACTTTGCAGTCACTGTTCTACTCAACAGGAGTATCTCTATCCTGGCTTCTATTAGCATAGATTAGTTTCTCTTGTTTTTTATTTTATAGATGTGGAATCATGGAGTATGAAACATTTTTTCACTGCTTTGAACATTCTGAACATGTTTTTTAGTGAAATATATACACATTTCTGGAGGGAATAGATTTACTAGGAGTAGAATTGCTGGGTCACAGGATATGAGTACATTTAGCTTCAATAGATACTACAAAACAATTTCCAAAGTGCTTGTGCCAATTTACACTTCCATCAGCAAGTTTTGGTTGCTCCACATCCTCACCAACTGTTGGCATTTTCCATCTTTTTAATTTTAGCCATTCTGGTGGGTGTGTAGTGGTAGGTCATTGTGGTTTTAATTTGTAGTTTCCTGATGACTAATGAAGATGAGCACCTTTTCACATGTTTATTGCCCATGTTGGATGTCCTCTTTCGTGAAATGTCTTTTCAAGTCATTTGTCATTTTTCTATTGGGTTCTATTGGGTTTGTCTTTCATTCTTATGGATTTGTAGGAGTTCTGAATATATATTCCACATATAAGTCCTTTGTCAGATACATGTATTGTGAATATCTCTTCAACTTTCTAACTTGCCTTTTTACTCTCTTAACGGTGTATTGTGATGAACAGAATATTAATTTTAATATAGTTCAACTTATCAATCTTTTCGGCTATCTTCAGCAGTTTTTATTTAAAAAATTTTATCCACTCTAAAGTTTACAGAGATGTACTCTATGTTTTTCTCTAATAAGGAGAAATAGCTGCAGAAACAGACGTGATTTTTAAAATTATAAGATACCTCCATGAATAACATCATACCAAAAATATAAATAACTGACCTTTCTCTACACTATCTTCAAGTATTTATGTATTTTGGTATGACGTTATTCATGGAGGTCTCATAATGTTAAAAATTGCTTCTGCTTCTGTAGTTATTTCCCTGTTTTTATATCTGGTATTTATTTGTGCCCCATTCGTTTTTCTTGGTTAGATTGGCCCCAAATCAGTATTTTTTATTACTCTTTTCAAAGTCATCTTTTTTTTTTTTTTCTTTGTGGTACGCGGGCCTCTCACTGTTGTGGCCTCTCCTGCTGCGGAGCACAGGCTCCAGATGCGCAGGCCCAGTGGCCATGGCTCACGGGCCCAGCCGCTCCGCGGCGTGTGGGGTCCTCCCATACCGGGGCAAGAACCCGTGTACCCTGCATCGGCAGGCGGACTCGCAACCACTGCGCCACCAGGAGAGCCCTCAAAGTCATCTTTTAGTTGTGCTGATCTCTTCTGTTGCTTTGTTTTTCTATTTTGCTCATGTTTTGTTTTTATCTTTGCCTTCTATTTCTTCTTTGTCTCCCTTATTCCAAACTGATCTCTCCATCAATATATAGACATATATATTCTACGAGTACCTCGAATTCAGTATCAAATGGAATTTCAACTTCTTACCAAACATGCTCTTCTTCCTCCCAGGTTCCTTATCTTTGTATTTCATTAAAACTTTACCAAGCAGCCTGATCAGGAATGTGTTCAACTCCTATTTTCTTCTCACTTTTCACAGCCTTTTGGTTGCCATTTCCGTCTGTTTTGTATCTGAAATACTTCTCCAGTCTGGCCCTATTGCCATTGTACTGATTCAGGCTGTCATCATTGCTTTCTTGGTGAAGGACAGCTGAGCCTCCTAACTGTGTCTCCCTGATGTCAGCATTGCCCCTCTAATTTGTCTTCCAGAGTGCCAGAGAGTGAGGGTACTAAAACTATGATGATCATTTTCAAATATTTCAAGTTGATTTATTTTGTGTAATTTCAAAGGTCAGAATGAGAGCCAGAAAATGAAAATGACGTTGGCTGGGTGAGGTGTGCAGAGGTTGATTTTGGCTCAAGAGAAGGAAGAACTTTCTCTTAAAAAAATTTTTAAAGCAATATCATAATGATATTAAAGTAATTTAAAAAGCAGTGCAAATCTTCCAGCTGTCCTACCATCCCATCCCATCAGTACTGTTTTCTTGCCTTTTTTTTTTTTTTTTGGCCACACCACGGCATGTGGGATCTTAGTTCTCCAACCAGGGATCAAATCTGTGCCCCCTTCAGTGGAAGCATAGAGTCTTAACTGCTGGACTGCCAGGGAAGTCCCTGTTTTCATTTTTATATTTTCCATCCCATCTAGTCTTTTTCCACAGATATACATATTTATACATGATGTTAGTCATGGTATAAATATAAATCTGTTTTATTGATAATTTTATACTTAATATTAATTTTATAACTATGTCCTACCTTACTCTTCATATTTTTAATTTTAATGAAATTTTTTTTCCATTTAGGTATTATACCGTTTTCCTATATTAAATATTTAAGTTAATTCCTGATTTTACTACTATAAATGGTGTTGTAATAAATACCTTTGTATGTATGGCAGAATTTTCCCTTATTTTCTAAGGGTATAGTATCAGGAGTGAAATTTACAGAGCCTGAAAATTTGTATAGCTCTCAAATGAGTATTATCATTTTCCAGAAGCTTCCAGCTTTTCTACCTCCTCAGGATGGATTTTCTAAAAAAGACAACTACTTGATAAAACTGACTGTCTTGAGAAGGGTGAACGCTTTGTCGACAGCTGTGTTCAAGTACAGGTATATACTATGTTCAAGATAGAGTATAGATTATTGTCTCTAGGGCGTTGCAAGAGAAAATCATGATTTAGGGGGAAGGTTGAACTAGACTGACCTCTGAGGTCCCTTCCATGCTAAGATTCCCTGGGTTATATTTTGAATTCCTATTAAGAGAATAATGCCCTACTAAGCACTGTGAGGAAAATTAAGACATATAAAATATAGTTTCTACCTTTGAGAACTCTAGCTGAAGAGACAATATCTACATGATATAAAGAAAAATAATATTGGAGAGTATATGAATAATAGAAATAATATTAACTAACAATACTGAGCATGATACTCAGGGCTTCACATGTATTATCACTTTAAATCTACCCAGCTATTTTATGAGGTAGATTCTATTATTATCCTGATTTTACAAAGGAGAAAACTGAAACTTAGAGAAATTAGCCCAAGGCTACAGATACAGTGAATAAGTAGCAGGGCCAGAATTCAAATCAAGGCAGTTGGACTCCAAAGCCTGTGCTCTTAGGATACAGAAATAAAGGT